TTCCTGGATTTCTTAGAGATCTGAGTGGAGGAAGAGAAAGAAGTGGGAAGGAATAATGAGGGAGGGCAGAGAAAAAAGAATTGCATCTGTGCATCCATCTAAAAAATAATTACAAAAAGACAAAAAAAACACCCAACACCATAACCAAAACAACCCATAACCCACACTTCATTATTTTCCAAGACTGAACTCTTTGCTGCGTGCAGCACAAGCTCACAGGTACCCAGAGCTGGGTCTTTAGTTTTCCTTCAGTTATGGAAATCAGGCCTCCATTTCTGAGCTACCTGTAGGTTCTTCAAACCCAGACGTTTGGAAGGGTCAAAACACCTGCAGTCCTTGCTTCTCCAAGCACGTGCTAACGTGAACCGAGAGGCTGGGAGGTTGGAGAAGCATGGCCAGGATCACCACTATTTAACAGGCTGTGAAAAATTAATCCTGTCCTTCAGGCAGTTGTGAATGCACTTCATATGCCCCATGCTGCTGGGAATAAACCAAGACCAATATATATGAAGAGCAAACATTTGTCTTTTTGCAGTGTCCCCCACAGATATCTAGGCTCCCATTTCTGTAGCTTGGAAGAGGAGTGGAAAGCAGTAAGACCCAGAAATTAATCAGTGCATTTGGTCACATATCACATAGGTTAGAGTACTGAAGGATACGAAGAGTTTAAAATGTATTTGGATATAATTTTCTTGATTTAATCTATGTATTAAGCACAAACAGGTTATTTCAGCATGTCTCACTAGTTTGGACTGAATGTCTGCGGTAATTAAAAAATGTCACCATTTTCTCTTTACTAAATGTTAAGAAAATGGTGACAAAAATTCTTAATCAGGCAGCAACAACCAACTAGTTTAAAAGGTACTAAAAACTACTTAGACCTAATCAGGCCTTAAGTACTAGGATTTACTACACATTTAAAAAACAAACTGAAGTTAAAACTGAACTCCACATTCTGCAATACTAAATGAACGTTTCACTACATGGTTTCTTTTGAGGTGGCAAGAAACGACCGTAAAACCTTTGCTGTTGCCAGAAGTGCATTTCTTAGAGAAAAATATCCTGTGGGTTACCATTTGTTGCCATGATTTACAAAGATAAGGTCTATAGTCAGTATCACTTTCATGCTGAAGTTTTGAAGGATAAAAGCTTTCTGCAGCATTGGTAGATTTCTGCATAAGTGTCTGTGTTGTTGCAAAGAGGGCTAAGTGATGCTCTCGCACAAGCTTCTCAAGAAAGTGAGCACATTTCTTCAGATTCAGCTCCTGCAAGGTAAGACTCTCCCCTCCGTTGCTTCTGTCTATCCAATAAAAAGCTGATATGCTATCTAAAATCAAAAGGCAGAGGGAGGGGCGAGAGCAAAACATGTTTTCTAAAGAGTAGAGCGTGAGGAGGAGCTGGGTGCTACTATTGCAGTTCACCAGAAAAAGCCTTGCCAGGCACTGCTTTATCACCTCCTCTGCCCCCTGTGCCAGCCTGTGCTCCAGAATGGTAACCAGACGCAGCAAGTCAAAGTGGGAATCAGTGTCAATGAACATGACTTCCACTTGCAGTCCTCCTTCTGATTTTGGAATGATGCAGCGGGCTATTAGGTGATAAAGCATTTCTGTTTTTCCCGTTCCTTCTGCACCGTGGAATTCAATGACATCTCCTGTTAAAAAACAAAGCAGCAAGCTGTTAGGCAAGAGCCTCTATAGCTCAGTTTTCAGTGCTTACTGAACCAATTTCACTATGCCAAGAATTTTTGAAAGCCTGATATCCATAAACTGATTTAAATCCTGGTTAGCATCTACCAAGAGAAATTTCATTTTCAAGAAAGGCCTACAAAGTGAAGAAAATCAACTGGGAACAAAGGCTGAAAAAACCCTGCCAGTAACATCTAGGACACCAACACCAATGAAGGCTTGGCAACTGGACTTCATCTTTCATTACAGGTAGATGAAGGATGAAAAGGAACCTGCTACATGGAGGTTACTAAGAAACCATCATTTACACTATGTGCACAAAATTAAGAAATAAATAAAAAAACCAAGTACAAGTGAAACTAAAGTTCACATATTAGAGGTCCAAATCATGTTGGCACATCTACTTTTATAGCACAGACTGTCCTTCAGCCTTTCATGTCTGCTATATGCTTGTTCAATACCTGCACATGTCACAAGATACCAACAGGAATCTGACCAGTAAAGAGAACACCAGTATATTTATTTAACACTTATAATCTTTTCTGGTGATCGTAATATGAAACTGCTTCTTTTGACAGGAAGGGACTCCCAGAATCCTTCAACACCAGGCAATAACTCTACTGGCTGAAGCAAAGTATCTCTGTTCATAAATGGACTCAGGCTACCTGCCTGATCCATGTGGGTCAATAAAATACATATCACATAAATTTAAAATGTTAAATAAAAAAAGCATGATGCTTTATTGGCAAACCCATTCTTTTGTTGGATGTGAATGCAAGATACTCCAAAGTCTTTTCCAAAGTCTTCTTACGTCTGATGTCAGAGCAAGACTCTCAGAAACAGTTAATTTTTTAGTTGCTATTTATAAATTTCTAATTTAGGAAACAAATAATTTATGACATTTTTAATTTTAGGCAGAAGGGTAAAGACATGCAGCAAGGAGAATCACACCACTGTAAACTGCAGGAAGGTGAGATTTCTGTGGCCCGAGCAAGTGCAAATGGCATAACAGCTTTTCATAGGAGGGATGAGAGAGTAGAAAATTAATTGCAACTTTACTTGAACATGTTTGTGCCTGGCTGAGTTAACAACTTCCAGAGGGTGTCCTTGTTCATCAATGTGTATAATGTCAAAGTGCAGCATGGGGTGAGGGGTGGAAGGCTTGGGGAAAAAAAGCTAAGCTCTTACTTTACCCACTGCAAGTGCTGAACACGATTGACACCCAATGTGACAATTCTATCCATTTCAATGACACTCAGACTGCCTGCCTGTCCATAATGAAATTCCTTGCTGCTCCACAACTGAAATTCCATTTTCCTGAATTTCTGATACTTTGAAATTTATTCAAGAGCTTGATTGTCTCCCAAGCCCTTAGTTCTCTCTTCTGAATGGATCTTCCCACTTCTGAGATGAAAGACGACACTCCCATGACATACATCTTCACCTTCTCTACCTGTTCAAAGGTCGCAGTGCCCACCTCTGCCCCCTGCAGCTGCTCTGCTGTCACTCAGACTGGGATAGTGACATACCAGCTTGGAAGAACTCCTTTAATATGTGCTGAGTGGGTCATTCCTTCCTATTTCAAGTCTATTGAAACATTTTAGAACAATCGGGTGAGGCACCTCTGGTTAGGAAACAAAGTGTATCTTCTATCTGCCTCTGGCCTCAGCACTAAATTTCTGCCACCCTGACTGGTGTTTCTCAACCCAGACCACTCACTGAACTGGGGCACCATGCAATGCAGATTGCTGCACCTACCTTTACAGCAAAACATGGCTTGTTTCAAAAAAAACACATACTATCAGCTCTATACAGCCATTCAGAATAAGCAGTGGGAAAATCTGAGTTATTCTTTGGTAATGATTCAAAAAAAGTTATTCTGTGAAATAAAAGCTTGAATTTATTCATTTGCAGATGTTCCATCATGACTTCTGTGCTACAGAATAACACTGGATGAGCTTTTGTTGGAAGAGCAAACAAATTTATCTAAGTAAAAATTCTAAGTTGAATGACAAATCCATCTTAGGTGTTTTTGTAGTGGTGGTTTATAAATTTTAACAGCAAGCATCCTTCAAAGCCTGTTCAACATTTCTGAACAAGATACACATCCGGGTTGCAGTTTGACCAAAATATTTAAGTTACTCTGGAAAGAATAACAACTTGGACTGTAAGAAAACCTCAAGAGAGCCGGGGATTTCTGTCCCTTCTTGATTATCAGAAAGGCTGCCCACAAGAAGAATGGCTGCAAACCAGAAGCCATTTATAGCAACATCTATAAATGTAAGGTTTCATTAAATTAGCAACCAGCCTGTTACAGTAAGATAAGAGGGGAAATTCATCCTGCTGGATCAGAGAAGACAGACCATGACACAGCAGAGGAGGAAGTGTGGCCAGCAATGTTTGCAAGAAGCCTTTGATGCCACGACAGTAGGTCATGGAAGACGCTTAGTGATCAGTACTAGCATCATCCATTAATGTCAAAATAACTTAGAGAGAAGGATTAGTAAAAAGATACTGTCACAGGATGAAAATAGTGCACGAGGCAGAGCAAAACAGTGACTTTAAGATGGAAGGAAGGCAAATTTTCCTATTAGGTGTTGCCCAGCGTTAAGCCTATCAGTAGATGATGTTCCATTAGCTTGGCAAAATGTGTAGAAAATAAAGTCGGGGGGTTCATGCCAATTTAAGATTGCCAAGATTTAACAGATTAAGATCAATGAGCAGAATGATTTAATACAAAATTCAGCACTGACAAATTAAAGGAGCCACCCAACACATTCCTTGGCTCACAGTAGCTTGAACTGGCCCACAACGGGCAGACTAGAGAGACTAGAGAGTCCACTGCTACACAATGGTATACAGGATAAACTGAATGATGTTGCAGAAACTTAAGTATTTATGTAACACTAACATATTTTTAACTGAATATTGTGCTCACTCCTGGTCATCAATTCAGTGTTATCTTTTGAACAAGAAGAGAGTTAACCTTTGTCTGTCATTATTACACTAGCAAATGTTGGTTAAACTGTTTTCTGAGGCCACAGTTACAAACAGGCTATTAGAATACTCAGGAATAACTCTGCAGGTTTCACAGCATCAGACACCTGGAAGTTACTGGACTAGTAATTTACAATACTGTGCAGAAGCTGTCACTAATACTTGTACCATTATATGTGAAGTAGAAAGGCCTAATATTTATTCCAAGTTAATGCTGGGTGTCACACTATGGCTGAAGATCAGAGCTGACAGCCACACCTTCATACCAGTGGCAAAGGAGAAATATGACTAGCAATAATGGAAGATTATTTAAAGCTTGTGTCACTTTTGCTCCATTCCAGGAGAGCTTAAATGGCATGTAATTAATATGCTTATGTGTTTTTAAATATGCAAGTCCATCATAATTAGAAGCAGTGACTAGAATATCACAACAGTACCTATATTAGCTGTTCCTGTTTTACAGTACTCTGACATAGATGTTACAGTGAAGTAACCTTTAGATAGTGTAATGGAACTTCATATATATATATTTCTTTCAAATACCACCAGGAAAAAGAATAATTTAGGTCTTTGCATTGCTTTAATCATACCATTTTAGATTAAGAGCTGTTCAGTACGGACTTCATGGGCAATGTATCACAGCATTCCACAGTGACCTACTAAAAGTCAGGTTCATGACAAATAGAGAGGTAGGACTTCAACAGGGATTTAAGACTGAATGAGAACACACATCAAAATAACACATGGACTCAAATAAATACCACGGCATTAAAAGACAAAGCAAAAATATAATAAAAGGTGAAGTCCATTTATGTATATAAAGCTAAAGATCTGTGCTAAAGTATTTTATGCCTCTCCACTAATGTCAACCAAAAAGCATGGCCAATATAGATAATAATTGGTGCCATTTGTTAAATGCAGAAGAAAAATAAAGATGCTTCAGAAGCTCAATGCCCATAGTGGCATAGAGAAACCAGTAACAAACTTAGCAGGTTTCCAGCCATTTCAGAACTGAGGTTCTGAAACAGTCTTTGGATAGACAAGAACAACCTACAGATCAAAGCTGATAATTTGATGAATGGGATTATGTAATGCTGTGTACTGTGATAGCAAGGGGAATTACTGATTCTCAGGAAGGCTTCTTATAGTCAGTTCTACCAGAACACAGCTAGTTCAGTATCAGACACTGGTTTCTTGTGTGTAAAGTTCATTAAAAAAACTCCACAAAACAAACAGACTGAAAGATCAGCATTTTTTATTACTGCATTTTTTTCCAAAACAAAACCATCTCATCTTTTAAAAAAATTCCTTAGGCTTCAGGAGCCTTGTGAAGCATACACCCATTTCACTGCTGGTTCTGAATTACTCTTGTGGGTAACAAAGCAGTTCAGAATTGAGGGTATTTAAATCATCTCTGCTCCATTTGCACTGGCTTAACAGTATTTCTCTGCCCTTTATCTTTGTTATATCACATTTGAAACTTTCAGGTGCAGGAATCATATACTGCTAAACCCCTAATGTATTCTCAAGTGCTGCAAAATAATACACAAACAGTCTCACAGTGACTGCATTTGTAGACTAAGCATCATCTCTCATCCAATTATCTTGATTCTTTTTATTGCTTTTTCTGCTGTTTCTTCAGAACCTCCTATAATTTGTGGGAACTCAAATTGCAGACAAGTGTGTTGATAACCACTGCAGCCACGTACTTTTCCTATGAAATCCACTCATTCATACATACATTCAACAACTGCAGCACCTCACAGCATGGTCCTTCCAGGTGGCCATTTACATGCTTTTTTTTTAACTACATATTTCTAGTTTTGTGTAATCAAGAGTTGTCTCTTCCATTGTAATACCCATGAGATTTCACACCATCTTGAAAACCAGTCTGACTTTCTAAATAATCAAGGAATTTCTAAGTGTACTAATTTTGTTTTAGCTCTGTAATTTATTTCATTAAAACATCCAATCTTGATCTTAAAACTTCTTGTTAGAGGAATCTACCTTAAACTTGTTGTACTGGCACCACTGGGAGGTAGCCAAGTTTCTCCAATTTGAAATTTCCATTCATTCACTGAAGGTCTGTAGAAGCCATTCTGATCCTAACATCATCTGCACACTCACTCAGCTGATTAGTATCTATGTTCATAATGGACTTGTTCCCAAATTTCCATCATCTAAGTATAATCAGGAGTTTTCAGACAAAGTCTAAATACCTTGATGACTTGGCTTTATTAAAACATACTGTTTGTTCATGTGCCACTTCCTCACTCACCCTGACCACTCCACAGCACTGAACTCTTTGCAATTTATTGACTCTAAAGTTCTTCACAAATTTCTGCAGTTAAGACTTAGTGATAGTTTTTTAGACCACTGATTAAACAAAAGGTCAAATGACAGAATCTAGAATAGATTTCTGTAAAACTACTAGAGACCAACGTGCTTGGTATTTACTCACCTACATCTGTGTCCTGATACCACAAGGTAGATTTTAAAGTCCATTTAATAATATTTGGAATGGTGCCTTTGCATCCTTTCTTTTTATCTAGCTTGCATAAAATTACATCAACAATTAAAATTCTGAATCCATGGAAAAAAACCAATCTACTTGTATGCTAATTTCTGTCATATTGCTCTGAGAATACTTCTGCATCAACATTTTTCCATAAACGGGATAAATTTTTACCATGAACAGGAGATCCTTCCTCAGCAAACAGGTATGGTTCAAGATTCTTCAGAGAACTTCTGCCCTCAAGTCGTGCAAGTAGCTTTTACAGGAAAGACACAAGAGAGACACACTGTTAACTCAAAATAATGGACCTTGGGAATCAAATTTAAAGGATTTGAGAACTGGGAGTTTTCCATGGCAGCCCTATCAAAAGCCAAGTTTGATTTAAAAAATGTTTTCATAAATATATATGGAAACCTATTGTCTGGATTTAAGCCACAGAAGGTTCCATCTTTATAAGCAATTAGCACATAAATTTAATGGAAATAAGGACTAGGTATACATCAGAGGAAGGAAAGGTTTGAAAACAAAAGGAAAGAAAAAAGAAAAAGCTGCACAGGTGGACTAGTGAAATGGATCATCTCTGGTATCTAGCAGGGCTGCCATTTGACACAACAAAGGGAAAGAAGATTGTTTGTAATAACCATCACCTCCACAACAAACTACTGGTTGAAACATTATCCATCATTAGACTCCTGAGTTAGTCCTGCTGAGCATTTATAAGTAAAAGATGAAAAGTTATACAGGACTCTTTCTGGAGTATAATCACATTGTATCATAGTTACTTGTTCAAACATAGTATGGACTGAGAATGATCAAAAGTAATTAGCCAAAAGTAGCTCTGCAAGAACCTTTCTAAAGCAAGCTCAGATTTGTAAAGCAAGTTCCTCGAAAGCCCCTTAGAAAGCAAGTCCATTGTAAACCAAATTAATCCAAAGTTCATAATTTCTTAAATTGACAGGTATTTGCATAGCAAGTAGACAGGTATTCACATAACTGGTGTTATTTGTAGTTCTGGCATACACTTGTAAACCAAGAATTAACATTTCACCCAGTGCTAATCCCTACATGTATTAACTTGGTTGCCAAATCTGTCATTCTCCATGACACCCAGCTGTCATTTAAAGATTTAAACAAAACAAATACTATTCAGTTTCATCCCATCCTCCTGAAAGGCAGTCACTGAATGAGTAGCGAGCACACACCTTGAAACACATGATGCCTTATCTTTCTTTCCTCCCTGCCACATTGATGAGCAACATTTGTTCTGAATTGGCTTAAAAGTTGTTTAAACAGTTGTGTATGTTTGCCTTTAACAGTAGAATAAATCTCCATTAAATGGCCCTGAATTTACTTCAAGTGGTCATGACAGGAATCTAAGTGTGACATTTCCGTTGCCATTTTAGCATTCCCTTCCATTAACAGAATGTCAGTGTGTTTGCCTTTGCCCATTCACAGGTATTCAGGACTTTACTGACATGTCCACTGAAGGGCCAAAAAAACACTGGAATTGACCTTGCTGTGGATCTGCAGATCCTTCCATTGTTTCACACATTTGTGTCGCTCAGAAAACACTAAAAACCATGAACTCTTGAATATTTTGGGAACGAAGAGGGGTTCTGTGACCTGGACAAAGCAAAAATCCAGAGGTATGTATGGACACAAGAATATAATAGATTCATCATGGAATCACAGAATGGTTTGGGTTGGAAAGGATCTCAAAGATCATCTAGTTCCAACCTCCCTGCCATGGGCAGGGACACTTCTCACTAGACCAGGCTGCTCCAAGCCCCATCCAACCTGGCCTTGAACACTTCCAGGGAGGGGGCAGCGACAACTTCTATGGGCAACCTGTTCCAGTGCCTCATCACCCTCACACTAAGTAATTTCTTCCTAATGCCTAACCTAAATCTAACATTTTCCAGTTTAAAGCCATTACCCCATGTCCTATCACTAAATGCCCTTGTAAAAAAGTCCCTCCACAGCCTTCTAGTATCTCAGGGCAGGTACTCCAGGAGACTGCAACTACCAAGAGGGCCATCAAAGAACCTCTTGTGCCAGTGGCTGCCAGCACCTGGCCCCTAACACCAGCTCAGAGCCACTGGGGAGGAGATGCCGCACCCACGGTGGAGAAGGGCCAGAAATCTCTCATCCAGCTGTGGAAATTGAGAGAAACAGGAAAACCACCACAGGCTGCTGCTTTCTGATGCTTTTTATTTCTTAGCAAAGGAAGCACTTGGTAATCACTGGGGCTTGATTATGGGCACTGCTGGGGCTGGGAGTCACAACTACTGCTGGTCTAACCACATTTCTGCAGCCTCCTGCTCCCAATTTTGTTTCTACTTTAATGAATACATCTTCTGCAGTTTATTTCTTCTGGAAACGATGTGCCCCCCATCTCCTCTTACACTATCACAAAGAACCTCTTGTGCCAGTGGCTGCCAGCACCTGGCCCCTAACACCAGCTCAGAGCCACTGGGGAGGAGATGCCGCACCCACGGTGGAGAAGGGCCAGAAATCTCTCATCCCCTCATCCAGCTGTGGAAATTGAGAGAAACAGGAAAACCACCACAGGCTGCTGCTTTCTGATGCTTTTTATTTCTTAGCAAAGGAAGCACTTGGTAATCACTGGGGCTTGATTATGGGCACTGCTGGGGCTGGGAGTCACAACTACTGCTGGTCTAACCACATTTCTGCAGCCTCCTGCTCCCAATTTTGTTTCTACTTTAATGAATACATCTTCTGCAGTTTATTTCTTCTGGAAACGATGTGCCCCCCATCTCCTCTTACACTATCACCTCTTGAAGCTTACTGCTAGAGCTTTGCAAATACACAGCACATTGTTCGCTATCATTTAAGTATGAATCTGTGGTTATTTAAATGACAAGTTCATATATTAATTTTAAATAACTACAGGTGGTTACTCTCAGCACTGCTCATGTAGGTAATTAATGATAATTCTCGGGTGATAGCGCACCTGTGTTTTTATCAAACTTGTATTTACTTCCGAGTTCTGAAGCAGAATCTCCAAAGGCAATTGCCTCATTAGTGTCACGCTGGGAGCGATGGGGTTCCTGGCAGGAACAGCTAACAATTTTCCTTCAAATCTAACAAAGGTTTGTCCACACTACAGCAGAAGGCATGGAAGCAAAGCTGAGATGAGACACTAGACAGGCATCCCTCACCTCTGCCAGTGTTAAAGACAGGGACAACACAGGTTTTTCCACATCAGGAAAAGCCTCCCTGGGGAGGTGTTTGCATTTTACCTTCTCCATTTTCTTGTGTAAAATGAGAAGGTGGGAAAAGCTACAGGTAATTAAAGGGTGACGTGGATGGTGGACATCAGGTGTACCAAGCTGTGTCACACACAGCACATAACAGCAGCATAACACTGCTTTAGAAAACCTCTGAATGGGAAGAGCTTGAAAAAAAACCACCAAAACAATTTCAAATCACATATTAGAGGCTTCAGATTCCATAAATTAGCTGTAGATGTTTACTTCTTCTTTCATAATGCTCTTTCATACAAAATACCATCTTTAAGCAACCTGCTGGTGGTAGGTCTTTGCTCTTAGGTGTTTTTCAAAAGTGTAATTATACTAGCAAGAAATTGCACATATGTGCAGTACTGTGTAGAAAACAAGCTATACTCAAGAGTCAGGCAACAGTCGAGTTAAATTTCATTGATAACAAGGCAGAAGGGACACATATTTCAGCCATGTCTTTTATAATTTATCAATTTAATCTTTTTAATAAAGAAGCATGCATAGGGACAGCCCCATTGACTAATACATGATATGCTTACGCTATATTGGTTACATCGAAGCTATGCATGAATGTAAGCACACATGTAGGTCTTGTCAGGAATGAGATATTACCTCATTAAAATGTTAAAGAAATTCAAATTAAATACTCCAGCTCTGTTGCAGGCTGTGAGCTAACCTACAGGCTATTTACACATACAAACCTATCTTGAGTATGAGACAAACTTTAATTTTCAACCACTCTAACCACTCTGACTGAGCTTTTGTAAACTTTGGGCATGAAGACATATGCAAGCAATTTATCATTTATTTTATTGTGATACAGCAAACGTGTTTTGCAAGAAGTTCTAATTTGTTGTATTAATTACATCCAATAATAAGAGCACAAGACTGCGGTCTCAGTACAACCCTCTCTAAAACCTGATCTTATGCATGAAGCTTGAGGAAGTATTGTTTTAAATGAAGTATTTTCTGTTTCACGAGCTTTCACCATTTTTTCTGGACAACGTACTCATACATTAACCTTTCTGAACCCATTGGTTAGCAATTCTTCCCTCGTTCAGGTTTGGCAATCCATCATAGGCACTTGCTGCCATGGCCAAAGTGGACAAATCAACACATTCACCTGCTTGGACACAGAGCACAGCTCGTGTCCTTAATTTGTGTATATTTACTGAGAGTGGGCAGCCGTTGTTATTTTTAAAAAGCGTCAAAAGGGCTAAAGAACTCAAGGCTCACTGAAAAAACATGGACGTTTAACATGAAATAAATATTCCTTGTCACAGTTCTGTACTTTAGGTGCACTACTCGGCATGTTCTGAAACAGGAACACGCCAGCCTGCAAGTAATTAACTAGCTGAGAGCAAGCACAAGTCCCTAACAATAAACCAGCCAGCGGAGAGAAAAAAATAAATAACCCCCAAAACAACGCGCAAACCCCAAAACCAATTCGAATTTCAAAAGCCACAGACCAGGAAAGCAAATCCACCGTCCACCGGCTTTTATTTGAACCACTCCAAAGGGAGCGCGAAGAAAACATTTCTGAAGGAAGGAAGGAATGACTGAAGCACCTGAATAACCTGCCCGGGCGCCGCGAGGAAGCGGCACAGCTGGGACCGAACCCCAGCCCGAGGACGAGAGGGGACACAAAGGGGACACACAAAGGGGACACAAGGGCAGGAGAGACCCGCGCTGCCCCGCCCGGAGCTGCCTCAGCCCCCGGGGAAACCCTTCCCAGCCACCCCCCTCCCAGCGCCAGGCCCACCCCGCGGCGGCCTCGCCTGCCCCCCCGGCCCCGCTACCCCCTCACGCCCACGCGGCCTCCG